CCACGTGAAGAAAACTCCAGAGAAACTAAGTTCAGATAGTTTTAAAATCTTTTCTAAAAAAAAAAAAAAAACTTGATATAGACAATTACTATTTGTGCTGAATGAAGACTTTTCTAATTGGTTTATTGTAAATGAGTTAATTTAATTTTACAATTATTTTGGGTGAATGGGCATGTGCTGGAGAATTACCTCAAGGTCCAAGAGGGCTTAATGAACATAGCCTAAATGTGCGTATAGGATGAGCAAATTGCTAGTGATTCAAACCATCCAAGCAATGGCGCTGGAATGATGAGGCACATGCATCATTGAGTCAGATTGAGGCTGGTAGTATGCTCAGTATGCAAATTCTATGGCTTGACAAGAACGTATAAAAATGCAAATGTTTACTGAGATGGCAGAAGGCTTTTGCACTCAACGCAGATCATGTTGGTGTGTACTGAACCAGAATCCATTGCGAGTGTGTTTCCAATGTCTTTGCTACAGAATCCTATGTTTCCTGGTACAGGACATAAACTGTCTAAATAATTGTTTTAAATATGCAATGTTATCCGTCCTTACCTGGCATCTTGGTTTCAATCACTTTCCCATCACTGTAGTCACCCTGTGCTTTTTTTTTTTTTTTTCTATTAATATTTTCATGGTAATTATTCCGACTCTTTGGTATACTATTTTGTTTAGTTTCTTGGATATAAAATTGTAATCATTGTAAATATACATTGTGGTTTCATTTTTAAATGCTACTTTTATTCCCTCCTCCCTGACAGATTAATTGTACATATGGAAACTAGTTAGGACTTCCTAGAGACTATGAGGTATTATGGTGGTTGTAGTAAAAATGCTAAGTAAGAATGTGTTGTTTTAGTTTAAAGAATACTGTAGTATGATTGGGTCAGTAATTATGGCAAGCTAAGTTTAAGATAAGACAAATTGAAGATCAACCTTCCCTAACCACCCACGTTTGGCCTTGTACCATATTTTGTATTTCAAAATAAATATTGCTTTCCTCTTTGGTACCTAGATTGCATGAATTTAAGCACAGTACAAGATTGGTTGCTAAGTTTTATTGTTTTACTGTTGAAATTGGTCAATATCACCATAAGTTCTATGGCAATAGTTTCTTTCTTTGCACTTTGGAACTTTCTTCCAGCTTCTTGCTTTCCTGTCAACTACTAGCTACAAAAAAATTAAATGCAATGTCAATCATCATCTTCTGTCTTCTTGAATCCTGTTTTTTTATTATCTTTTCTCCTTAGTTATGTTTTCTCAGTTTCTTTCATTCTTAGCCACTTCTTGCATCTTATTGGCTTTATTGCCTTGCTTAGGATATAAACAATTAAAAAATTGTATGTAAGAATTATTTTGTATATTTTTGTGGTTCCAATGTCATATTTTACATTAATAGTAGATGCAGATCTAAGTGGTTTAAGCCAAGGAACAAGAATTGTAGCAACTTAGCTGCACCTCTGGAATAAGAGAGTTGCCTCCCCTTAGCTTAGGTAAGACTCAACAGTCTTAGTTACTTGATGTTGCCTGCCTGCTAAACTGATATCAAAGATCAAGCCTTATACACTAAAAGAGAGTCTGTGTGATGCTGGCTGAAGGATTAACATTTCAACAGCATTTATTGATCATTTTTCAGAATATAGATGTAATTGTGTAAAAAGCAGTCAAAATTGTTGTAGTTCTTGAGTTGCGATTGATTGGGTGGAATGATATTGTTGGTAAGACTGGGAGTTGACAGATTTATTGGGTTGGTTGACTGAGGTCATGATTGGTGTCAGGAGAGAGGCCTGGAGTAGGTCAGTGAAGCTGAATAGGGTGTCATTGATGATTGACATATGCCTTTTTTCATGATCGTAATCAACACCGGTGAAGTATTTGATGGACTGGCAGTCATGTGATGAGGCTGAGGTGTTGAAGCCAAAACCACCTGTCATTGATGAGGAGTGCCATTTTTATATCTGCCATTTAACAGGTGCAAGCTCTCAGACACTTTTTTTTTTCAACAGCAACGTTCATGATTGACTATTGTATTTTAGATTTTTACAAGGACTTCTTTTGTGGACCAGATGTGATACTCTGAGCTCCTATGCAGAAGACGGCTTTTTTTAATTTGGGGTTTTGCTTTCTTAGTGTTCACATTTGACAGACACACCTCATGAAATGTCTTTGCGAATCAAAGAGGTCTTGATTAAGTAGTGTAACATCTATAAACAGCTTTTATTATCTGTGCCATTCTACACCCTTGTGCAAATTAATTGAAATGTTTGAGGTAGAGAAGGTCAAAGACTGTCTGCTCAAATCCAACCCAGTCTTGGAGGTAGGAAGTTATTCTTTGACTATCCAATAATCTGTTATAATGTGCATATGGTTGTAAGGGAAAGAACAAATAAGAATTAAAATTTCAACAATATGTATTGATCAAGTGTGAAAGATATATACATAGTTGTGTGAAAAGGTGATAAAATTGTTGATATGTAGTTCTTCAGTTGCTCTTGATAAAGGTAGCAATTGGGTGTAATGATATTATTAGTAAGACTGGGAATTGACAGATTTGTTGGCTTGGTTGACTGAGGTCATGATTGGTGTTGAGTTACCTCCTCCTAATTTTTGAAACTGCTACTAAGGGACATATTTCACTACTATAAATACTCCATGATAATTATCCGCAGCCTCTTCTTACTTTTTATGTTAACACGTAAGTTTCTCATGGAAGAACGCATTCCCTTTTTGGGACATGCATGAACAATACACACACACACACACACACACACACATACACATGTACACACCTTTAACTTTATTTTTTCTAGGACTTTCTCCTACACCAATCTCCATCCTGGGTATGACGATAAACAACATCTGCATCCTGGGTAAAACAATAAACTACGTCCAACAGCAAGGCCTCTGATCAGGAGGTTTTGAGGAGCGTGGAACCACCTCTTAATGGCTGGTGTTCCCAGGTCCACTCTGACCCGGAGTGGCAGCACCTGTTAGGGTCCCAGCTATGGGCAAATAGTTAACCCCAAAACTGAGGTAAAAAGCATTATAAAATATTACCAGCAATACATTTTTGAAGAAAAAACTATTACCAGCAATACGTTTTTGGAAAAATAATATGACCAGCAATATGTTTTTGAAAAAATAATATTACCAGCCATACACATTTGAGGAAAAAAATATTAACAGAAATAGATTCTTGACAAAACAAAAAATATTACCAGGAAAAAAAAAAGTTGTCGGCATTAAATGATTCATTGAGGTTGATATGCCATAAACCAAATCAAACCTACACCAAACTACACATACACAAACAATTCACTAGCTTAAATGTTTTCTTCATTCATGTTCATTGTTGTATATATAACCCTTCATTGTTAATACATTATCATTTGTTTGTACACACATATATTGATCCTTGTTATCTCCTTACAGTTTTTCCGTATTCCATGTCGACCATGTTGGTTGTAGGCATTTCTGGAGACCCATGTTTATCTCTTAATGCGTACACCATCCCGCAACAATTGGTATCAGAAGAGTCTCTGAGTAGTGAAACCATATAGTAGTACAAGTGGGGTGTTATTGTTGGGGTTGATCCATCTATCATTAGGGTTGAAATCTATCATCAAGGTGTGCATTTTTATATATCTAGTTTAACAGGTGAAGGCTCATCCATTATTTTAATAGCAACATTCATGATTGGTTATTATATTTTAGATTTTTGTGGGGGGAATTTGTTCTGTGAATTGGATGTGATCCTCGGAGCCCCTTTCACAGAAGATTACTTATTTTTAATTTGGGCTTTTGATTTCTTAGCACACACGTCCGTCTGGCTTGTCAAGTGAATCCGAGAATAACAGAAGTCATGTTTACTCCATATGATACAAGAGAAGTTTGAAACATCACACCTTTTCTTGGTGATATCTCAGCCAGGGCAGTGCTCTTATTTGCAACCCTGGATAGACTCCATCCGTCTTGTCTAGCAAGGGCAGTGCAGCATTACCAGTAAAAATAACAACATTGGAGTTAGTGTCCAACCTTCAGATGTTATTAAATATCATTTTTACAAGATGTCAAAGAATTTTGCATTTGTATGATTTGAACATGAGACCTTGATCAATCTCCTTGAATGCTGTTCAGCATTGTTTGTTTTTCTGACTGTATGCTGAATTCAAGACATACTGATTTTTAACATATCTCTTCACCGTTCAGTGATTCCTGTTAAGCATTTTAAAGGATCCACTGCCTTTTACAACCTGATAATTCACTTTTCCAACCTATAATTTAATAAATTTCTCAGGGCTTACCTAATAATTTGGCACTCTTAAAATGCAAGGCTGCAACAAAAATGGCTTCTATTTGTTTATGCATGTGCAGAATGTCTTCATCTTTACAGCCTTATTGCAGGACAGCGTTGCCAATGTATGTGCCAAATTCTTCATCTCTCATAAAACAAGATTTACACGTTTGCATTATAATTTGACAAACATGTTAGATATACACGCTTCTATATGCAAGATTTCAATAAAGCTCCTGGCATTTGGTAAGATGAATTATCTGACATTAGATTCTAATAAATATTCCATGATGTAATATTTAGCCATGCAATATAAATAATTCGTGTTTATCGCACATAATCAAGAATATAAGTTGGGGATCTCTGAAATTTTTAACAATCTACAGTTAAAATTTTTATTTTATTTCATTCACTTTCAATTGTATCTTTGCCATCATTTCCTGTTTGGTTATGAAGATCTTATATTATATGTACATCTTCTCCTGATTTATGGGGAGGAATTGCACCATTAGCCTACTGTTCTGTCCCAGTGTGTGTTTGTAGGTGGATATAACACACTATGGCAATCCTGTTTCTTTTTGATTCATGATCATCCAAGCGTACTTATAAGTGAATATAAGGAATCTGACTGAAATTCATACTTGGTTATCCGATTTTACATTCTGAGTTTGTTATGCATTTCACCACACTGCACATCCAAGTTTCCAGCACCTGTTATTCTCAAGTGGTCACTCATCTAGGTATGGAGCAGGCTCAATATTGCTTAACTTTGGTGATCAGACAAGAACTGGTGTTTCAACATTCAATGACCATTAGATTTTTATTTTTTATTCTTATTATGTCCTTAATATTATTCTTATTATGTCATTATTATTATTATTATTATCAGCCTTCTTCAGGTGGTTGGAATTTTGAACTGAACCCTTTATTTCGATCACTGGGGTAGACTGTTCCACGTGCCATGTTTGATGGATGTCAGTTATCAGTTTTTCCTGCTAATTTTCCCTCTGAAAGTTCTCCACTGCCTTAACCAGGAATTGAACTCACCTTCTTTGGGTCTGTCACTGGATCTAACCAACGCCTTTATCCACTGTGCCATCTGGGTATGAACTTCTGAGTATTATAAACCTAATGTTTTCAGCATCATTTTTTTAAAGACTGTGTGTACACTATCCCATGCAGCTGCGGAAAGGAATATAAAGGAGAGACAGGCCGCCCACTCAAGTTAAAGCTTCAAGAACACCAGAAATCTGTAAGCATGAAGGAAGTAGAAAAATCAGGCGTGGCTGACCACATATGGAGAGAGAAGGAGATCACCGCCCCTGTGGGATCATGTTGAGATCATAGACAGGGAACACCATTGGAAAATTCGTAAACTTAAAGAATCAGCACATATGCTAGGCCACAAAAATCTCCTGAGCCAACCAAGCATAGAAATAAATACAATATGGGAACCAGTAATAAGCAGTGCCAGAGAAAAGCAAGGATAACAAAGTTGCAATATGACATGCAATGATAACAGCAAAATTGCAATATGAGCACTGGTAAAAAAGAAGGTGAGTTTAATACCTGGTTATGGCAGTGGAGAACTTTCAGAGGAAAAATTAGCAGAAGATAACTGATAACTGACATTCATCAAACATGGCACGTGGGACTAAAACAGTCTACCCCAGTGATCGAAATAAAGGGTTCAGTTCGAAATTCCAACCACCAAGAAGGCCGGAGCATACAACAGCCGAAATGTTGTGACAAATATGGCGACAAAGATGAGGACAATAGTCCGACTAATGTAAATACTGTACATAATACCTCATCTCAGAAATATAGACATATATAATTTTCTTATCATTTTATGACCACAAATATTTTTTATTGTTAATTTTTTTTAATCCTATCACTATTTTTAAGCAAAAATGTTACCACCACCACTTGATTTTCAAACATTTTTGCAATAGCATCCATAACCAACTTAAGTGAACATTAAAATTTCTAATTTTTATTTTCAATTTTAAGTGCAAGTTTGAGCCTAAAATTAAATTAAAAGTTAGATTATACCGCAATTAAGCATTTAAGAGTAATAATTGATTCAAACTTCTGAGACCAAACTTTACAAGCTATTTAACCCTTTTGAGAAGATATTTCATTTTCTCCCATTGTTATTAAAATGAACTCCAATTTGTTTGAGAATGTTTTATTCCTTGTTTTGGGCATGTAAAGTTTCATTGGCTCTTTCTTTCTCTTATCTGCTGTTGGCCAATAAATAACCTTCCCTTTTCTTCTAAAAAGGATAGCAGTTAAAACAAGGCCAATCTCCTCTAAAGTCTTTTCATACTCTCTCACTCTCAGTAGCTCCTTGTGTCTTAATAGCATTATCTCCTTGCTTGGGGTGAAGTGATTAAAGAAAAAAAAATGAAATGTGAAGTTTTATTTTAAATTTTTGTTAGTTTGATTCTTGAAATGTTAACAGAAATTTAAGTGTGTACTGAGGACACAAAGTGTGACACTGAAATCTGAAAGCTGATTGGGATAGTGAAAAATGCCTTCCAAAAGTTAAACAAAGTATTAAGAAACAGGAAAATTTCATTAGAAACAAAGAAAAGATTACTTATCTGTTATGTAATATCAGTTCTCTGATATGGCAGTGAATGTGTGACAATCTCATCACAGAAGAAGGAGAGGCATGAAGCAACAGAAGTATGCTGAGAATACCATGAACTTGAATATGTGAGCAATGACAATGTTTTAGAAAAAATAGAAAAATAAAAGACTGTTATACTTAACATAAGAAATAGCTGAAATTTCTCAAGGTACATAATGAAAAAAGTTAGCTTAGAAAATTTAATAATCACAGGATGTATTGAAGGCAAGAATGACAGAGGCATACAAGACATTAGCATTGATTTGTTTGTTTGTTGATTCGGTTTCCTTGGTTTACCTACCTAGGGAGAAAATTGATGATGTATGAATGATGATATTCATGTTAACTATCACATCCTTTTTTATTTTTTTTTTATAACGATGGGGTGCTGTAATTGTTGAATATATTCTCCTTCCTTCTTGTTTTTCAGTTTTTATGACCTTGTCTCAGAGTTCTTGTGGTCCTGTCCTGAGTTTTTTAAATACCCATGTCTTTTCAGTATATCTCACCTATTTGAGCTGATTTTTGATGGATTAACCCCTTTTTCCTTTGTTCATCAATACTTTTTTTGAATAATGATTTTGTTCCATCTATCAGTGGTTAATAAATTTCTTTCACTGAAGACATAATTTTTTTTTATAACTGACAGTTATTGAATCTTTTTTTTGTTCAATTATTTTTTAAATAATCTTATTCTATTTTTAAGTTCATAAATTTTGACTTGATAATAAAAGAAGATAATTGAGAGCCACTCAAGGTAATTTTGTGAATGAAGTTGCTGTATGGAGGTGGTAGGTGCAGATTCTATGGATATATAGGAAAAATAACAGTTAACCTCTAGACTTCAGGAGGTTAAGCTTGTAGTGATTGGGAAAGCATCATCTTGGGAATCTATTCCACAAAGCAGTCTGAGTATAACTTCCTCCTTACAAATGGAATATGATGAGGGATAATTTAACTCTGTGAATGTGACATGGCAGGTCTTAACTGTAAAAATTTTGAACTGGTGGAGAAGAAAGGATTAGCTGCTTCAACCCAGCAGCATTTTTGATCTGTTTGGATTCTTGTAAAGATAGAACATGGCAGTAGGTGTCTTGTACTTTCTGGAGCAGTATAAAGATCCAACAATTTTTCCAGCATTTTTATTTGCTGCTCATTTTTTACTTCAGTCTAAAGAGAAATGTTATGTGAGCAGCTGTAACCAACTTTCATGGCTAGCACTAAATAAACTCTTTTGATAGGAAAAGTCAGTTAGAAGATTGTTGGAATTCTACAGACTTTATTGTTGGCTTTTGTTAAGCACAAGACAGATAATGGCTTAGATAATCAAACAGTTGGTAAATCTTAGATGTGGAATAACTTTTTATGATTTTATTGACTAAGTTTGTGGGACAAATATTGATTTTAAATGAACGTGATAAATATTGTACCTGTTAACTTTATTTATCTTTCAGATGAACAGGTTGCTATGGCTTTTGTAAAGTTCACTGATGGACTGACTTTCAATTGTTTCATTACTGAGCAAGAATTTACTGTATTTCTCATTTTTAAAAAAATCAGCTGAGAATCGACATCAATAACATCACATCTAATTATTTTGTCTTATCTATTTAAATCATGAACGGCAACATTATTTTAAAGTTAGATTTGTTTCTTGAAGTAAAGATTAATTAGTGTTGTAATTTTGGTAAATCCTTGTCGCCAAAATGTTGTAACCTAGGGAAAGTTACTGAAGTAGTAGTCAACTGCTAGAAGTGAGTCAAGTGAATTCCACAATTAATATACAGTATTTACTACTTTATTTATGTGAATGGGGACATGACCATTATCGTCCATAGGTATGCTACAACAATTAGAATATGTGCTACCAATGTTATCATTTTTTTAATTTTTTTAATATTTTTAACTAAATGCTTGTTTCATAGAATGTTCAAGAACATTCAAAGTAAAGGGTTTCTGAATTCAGTTGTTTTATAGATGTATGTGGAGCAAGTAAATATAGATGACAAGGATATGAGAGTTAGATTACTGTTAAATCCTAGATTGAAGAGGTTAAGATTGTAGCAATTGGGAAAGTATGCTCTTGGGAATTTATTCCACAAATTAGTGGTTCACAGAAAGAATCTGTTTGAGTAGAACTTCCTCTTTACAAATGAAATATGAAGACGATTCAACTCTGTGTACATGGCATGGAGAGTCCTAGCTGTGAAGGTCTGAACTGATTGAACTAACAAATGTGATTCCTCTGGACATTTTCCATGGAAATAGGATTGCAATGTTATCTGTGGGGGGGGAAAAAGGGCTGTAGAGTTGAAAATAATTCATTGCACACAAGACTGTATAAAATCTTTTGAACTCCAAACAGTTGGAAGCTGAAGATTGTGCAGCTCCATCCCAGATATGGTAGCAATATTCTATTTTACATTTCTGGAGGAAGTAAATGTAGCGGGATTTAGATTAAGAGAAGGCCTCGCCTATTCCACTTGTAAGCCAAATCCACCCCACCCCTCTCAAATCCCCCATTCTCACAAGCAGAGGAAATTGGAAGAGTGTTACATTGAACAATTTGTGTGAAGTTGAGGATGATGACAGGTGTTTAAAATTCCACAGTTGACAATTCCTTTTCTAAAGGACATAAGACATCATTTATAAATACAGTCTGTGATTGAAAACATGTTTGAATGTTAAAATTAAAATAAAAAATCTATAACTCAATGCTAACATCAAGTTATCAGCTTAAAACAGAATTATTCTGAAATGGAATGTAAGGAAAATAACTGAAGTGGTGTTTAGAGTCTACAATGCTTTATGACAGCGTGTATAAGGAAGACCCAGGACAGTGTCAAATATATTATACACCTTGGCTGGAGGACCCCTAGATTATGAGGCCCTACACATCAGCTTGCTAAGCCTACACATAAATCTGGCACTGTAGATGAGGATAGATTACTGTTAAACCAAAGACTGGAAGAGGTTAATATTGTAGCAATTGGGGAAGCATGCTCTTGGGAATTTGTTCCACAAATTAGTGGTTCACAGAAAGAATCAGTTTGAGTAGAACTTCCTCCTTACAAATGGAATATGAGGATGATTTGATTCTGTGTACATGGCATGAAGAGTTCTAGCTGTGAAGGTATGAACTGGTGAAACTAAGGAATGGATTTTATCTGAAA